TCAGAACAGGCAATTAAATGCTATGTATTAGATTACATGATTATGGTGCTAGATAAGACGAACTTGTTGGAAGAGCTTTTTCAGAGCTGTTAAAGAAGCTTTTTCTTCTTTCATATCAACTTAATATTCAGGTAGGAATATGAAAATTTGCTATTCCCGTTTATTGAAATAGTTCATGACCATCCCTTCCACATCAGTGACTCTGGACAGTGCACAAGGTTTAGAGTAGAACCACAACATATAGCCCACAGTGCCCATGGTTAAACCAATAACCCCAATCACAGAAAAGCATACCATCAGTAATGGAGATTGCCTAATCGCCTGATAAAAGCATATGAATTTATGCACATCAATATTAGCCGAATTACAGAAAATACTTCAAGAAATGAAGATGCAAGTCCTTAAATTTTCCTGAATTCTGTTCAATATCCAGATACTTAACACAAGTTTAATATGCAAGCTTAAGCTATTCCAGAGTAAGCAACATACTATATGTCTATTGAATATCTAGATTGCAGGCCCTCTGCAAAACTCTTTGATCCCCTCTTTATTTATGTCAAAATACTTCTGGATACCTCCTAGCCCCTTAGTCTTTAAAGGATAAATTGGCGATGTTGACCTGATAGCTGTAGGGTCTGATGGCAATCTCTCTAATAGCAGCCATTATAAGATGTGGTGATATACTCTGAAAACCCATATAATACCTTTCATCCCAAAAGGTACCGGTCTCCTGGGAAAAGTGCAAAAGCTAGATGACTGTTCTGAATTATATTTAATAAAATACTGCAAATATTCCAGCACAATTCTAAAGCTGTGTGGGTATAAGTGGTACCAACTGAATTTTATCTTGTTTTGTCAAGCACTACCTTTCTTTCTTTGCAGTCTTAAAATAGAAAAGCCAACAGCTGCTACCAGAAGTTTCTGGATAATCCCCTTCCAGAAATACTTCCCAAGAATAAGGAGATCTCAAGGTAGTGCCAAAATATTACTAACAAAATATGTGTAAATGTCTATATCACCAGAAGGAATATCACATGCCTTTACATGTCAGATTTATTGCTGATGTAGATCAGCACTCTTCAGCTTTTATACTACCCAAATTTTGAATATTAGATGAGGAAAAGGTTGCCTAAACTGAATCCGAGGGCTGTGTGGCTTATAAGGATCTGATGGAATTTGGAAACCCTAACCCTAAACTCTTTAAAAAAAAAAGATGTGTAAGAGAAAATGTTGTAAGTTTTTTAGATGATAAAGTTATTCTCATCTACTTAGGATGGGTACCAGTTGGGTACTGTGACAGGCAAGGAAATATGTACTTTTTATCTAGGATTCTTCTGATCTTCACTGATAAAGTGAACAGAATATTGTGTAGGGTAACTTAAGGGCATACATCTTTAATATCCCTGTTATTATAGGTAAGTAGCATGTATTATTACACCTGCAAGAGATTTTAAATAGCTTCAAAAGCTCTGGACTAAATCCATCCGCAGTTGCACCATATTGCAGTTATTAAAAATTGCACAATTATAACCATTCAATTGGATGCTTTTTCCTGCCCATGCCAAGTCACTCCCAGTTGAGGACAAATATTTCAGATGTGGAAATCAAACAGTTCCATACACACAATAATCTTCAATTTTTAATGAGCATTTCAAGGAATCTTGGAACTAATCGGAAATTTATGCAATACAAGGGACGCATATGAACATTCTAATGACTATTTATGCTGTTCTGATTATTACATGATATATGTTTGAAAAATGATATGAGCTAGAACTGTCCTTGTTTTTCCTATCATAAATTCATTTAATATAAGAATATACAAAATCTTTGTTGCCATTGCTAGAACACCTTCAAAGAGTGCCACCAGCTTATAATCTTCAACATGCTGAAAAACAGAAACTATTAAATACATTATAATTCATAACATTGAGCAATATTAATTTTAATATTTTGCTATACTTAAATCTACATTAGTTTTTATTTCCCTAATTTGTATTTTTGGAGTGGGTTCCCTGTCATAGTACTTAGGCCAAATGTAACTCTTGGTCTCCCAAATGTTCTATGGTATATTCTGCTTTAAAATAAGCTCACTAACAGTTTTGCACAAATGGACAAGGCTGTAGTGTAGATTGAATAGGACACATATTAGTTCACAGCTGGTTTAATATGGAGATACTCATTAAAAGATACTTATATTTATCACATTGCCAGTCAACTAAAGATTGGAAAAGATTTCCAATTCATAAATCTTATGCATAAAGGAAGCATTTCAAAGCACAAAGAGGCAAACTGTAGCTTGCCTATCACGATCCATCCTCTTGAATCATCCTGGTTAAATCACCCCAGTGTCAACTGAGGTTTGTGCAAAATGTAGCCATGAAAGTGGTATTGCTTTGGCAGGGATGAAGTTGGGATAGCTCAAATATTGATGAACCTTCAGTATTCCTCATCAGATATGCTTATTTGATCCACTTAAGTTGCAGTTAGGTAAAAATGTAAACATAGATGCTAGGTAATCACTATAAAACACAGTTAAGTTTCCCCAAAGTGTGCTTAATTAAAAAATGCTAGTTTTGGACTTAGTTACCCAATGGCTCACTACTGTCCGACTGAATTTTTTATCCTTTAATCTACTAAACATCTTTCACTCCAGACTGCCATACTTTTGAGTAAGGCCTACTTGGGAGTTAAAATCCAGTTGTGAAAATTTCTGCTGCATCTCAAGAACTAGTTTGCCTCAGTTGGCATTAGAACAGGACAGTTGAAGGCACAATTAATTGCATTTATATGGTGACCCGCTTGCCAAGTGATTCACCAACTTGACACTGACTGTATTCAATTTTAAAACAAAGATGCATAAGTATATTCCAAGTATCCAATGCTGCCTGTTCTAATACCCAAAGAACCTTTAACTACGAGTTCCAACTAAACATTTAATAACAAAAGATACAGCCCCAATACTATGCATGCTTTATTGAAAGTTGTTGTGAGCAAGTAGGCAGCTATATAAATTATTTACAATAAATAAGTAAATTTTTCCTGGATTTTTTTTTAATAGGAAAAAAACTTGTGGAGATGCAAGGGGCAGGAAGCAGAGCACAGGTATTTTGGTAAGTGGGAAAGCCTTGAGAGGGCTGGAGCAGATGGGCGTGGGACTGTGCTAGGCCTTCAAGAGCCTCCCCTACCCTAGGCATCCCATGATCCACTTAACAACCTGCATGTTTATTTGATTCATTGGGAAGAGCAGGGATGGGGAATCATTAAGTGACAATTCTCAGGACACGTGCAAACTCCACTATAATCATATCTCAAGGGTTAACTGTAATACTTTCCTACTTTGGGTTTCCCACAATCTTTTTACCAAGTATTATTATGAGATTTCCCTGCACTTCTAGAAGAATGCCAAACAGAAGTATTTCCAACGTGCTATAATTAGGAACTTGCTCAAGTGTGACAGATGAAGTTTACAACATTCTTTCCATGGTTTGTACTAGAAATCAATTCAATATATTTCTAAGATATCATTCTTATTAATTTAAAATTATTTGTTCTGATATTAAGTTTTTGAAAACAGAAACCAAGATAGAGCTAACATTCTTGAAATATCAATGGCAAACCTGAAACTGATTTCCATGGCCAAATCTGCACAACAGAAAATCTCACTTATGCTTTGGAAGACAAATTAACCATTTGCGACACATTAAAGGTAGCTTAAAATGAAGTTTGACACTGTAGTCATGAGATACTCAGAGTTTTACATTGTTTGCTCTCTTCAGGAAGCACAGATTAATCTGTTCTCCATTACAGTTACCAAAATACGTCAAATGTCTATTTTATTGATACAATTGCTACACCATCATGGCACAAATTGCATTAGAGGTAAGGGAGAAAAATGATTATTTGGCAAAATCAGTGCTTTTTACCTTATAAAATGTAGTAAAATATGCTTCAGATTAGGGCATTACTGTAACACAACTTGGCAATATAAGTAGTTTAGCTAAAAAAGAAGAAGCCAAAACCACTGGAGAGACAGTGGTGAAGGTGAATTTGATTTGTTCATTCATGGGCAACAAAACTATCATCAAATGATTATTACACACAAAAAATCTGTATTACGTAGAGTCACAAGAATTTTTTATAGAATGCTTGCCTATACAATAACAATGCTGATACATCATACCCAGCTAACAAAATGTACATATCTGTAAAACATATGCATTTCATTTTACTTCTCTCAACACTTCTTTAAACAATACAAAATCAGTGCTTAAGAAATATGAAAAATATTACAGCAAACATACTTTATGTAAGTCTGTGTATGCTGAGAAAAATCTCACCCAACGGAAACATATAATACTTAGGAATTGCTTAAGAATTCACTAATTCTTCAGTATAATAACATGGAACCAATTTGTATACTGAAATACTTTGAATTACAGGAGCCATAAATGTAATCTGACTGAAAGATGGGTTGCCAGCCATAAAGGCTGCTCTTCATATACCCATGTAGCTCAGTTCATGAAGGTCTGAGGATCTAACGTAGATAGATGAATGTATAGTTCTTTTCATAGAAGATTCCCAAAAGGGCTTACAATAAAACCAATAATGGTAATATAAATTAAGTCTGCTTCCAATTCCACTGATACATACCATTGACCTCAAATTTCCACCTCCATAAAACTCCCAAGTTTCATTGCCAATGAGCCTATTATTTTCAACTCATTAGTCACCCCCACACACACATATACGAACTGTGGCTTAGCTGCTCATTTTTTATTTATGAGTAGGCATAAAGCCGAGATTGAGATAAAACTTTTTCTCCTATGTTGGAAATAGTGTTAGACAAACCAATTGCCATGCACAATATACAAGTTGAAATGTGGCATAAGTATAAGCTGTTGTAACTTTATGGGGGACAAGTAACAATCCTAAATATGAAGCTATGGTTCACTAAGGCATTATTTTAAAGGGGAAATGGCAAAAGCTAGCACACACAAATTTGACTGGATGACTTTCCAAGTATCTATCTTATAGTATATATAGAGGTATGATACAATTTGAAGGAACTTAAAATGGCATGTCTGTGAATACGAACTCCTGTACTCAGGCAGTTTGTGAGTAATATAATTAACATGAAGATTTCAAACCATTTAGTGTATCAATCACATCCAAACCTAAAAGCTCTGAAACTGAATTAGCAAGACAATTAGAAAACTGAAAAGTTAGCACAAACATAAGCAAATAGTAGACAACATGCAATCACATTTTTACAGCTCCAGAAACTCTCAAGATATTTATGTGTAATATTTATTTATGCAACGTTTATTTCTGGGAGACATAAACATAGGATAAGTGTACTAGGCCTCCATAAAATTCTAACATACCTACTTCCCATCTAAACCTCCACCCCCAAAACCAGATACAGACAGAACAATTTTTAGAACCAATGCCTACAGTGGTATCAGTACATGTCTATCATGGCTTTGGAGACCAAAAATAAAAAACGAAGTTTTATCTGAGTCAGAAAAGATCCTCACTTTAGCTTAGTATCTACAAACTATGCAGCTTGACTATTAAATGTTTAGTAGGAGCACATAAAATATAGTATGCTGAATATAACATATAAAGCAACAATATTCATTACAACTGGATTATTTTTCAATTATATTAAAAATAATTGCACTTGTAGTGTAATACCTTTAGTCAAAGTGCAAAACTGTAAAAAACACAATTAATATAAATATATTAACATTATAAGGTTGTACCATGCAAGAAAATTCAAAGTATCCAATGAACCTAAACAAGAGTTTTTAAATATTTTTTTTCCTGTTGTGACAGATGGCTATAAAAACCAATATAGTTTTTTCTATATAACTCCCATGTACAATAAATTATACCATTGCTATAGATTTCCTAACTGCCATCTTTAATTCAGAACTGGAAGAGCAGAGTATGTGAAAGCTGCAATCCTGCAAGTAACAGCCTGCTCTAACAGAATAGGTTGATTGCAGATATAAAGCATTCAGGAATGCCATGTTGCCAAAAACATGACGTAAGATATTCTAAAGACTCTAAGCCAGATAAATTCTAGAAAAAATGGTGCATGATGCAAGCTATTTCATCTGTACAAAGTTGACTGTTGAAATAAATAGAATGGCAGGGACAGTTGTTTTAAATCCAAAATCCCCTTATGGCATAAACTAATCTGGCTATCCATTTTTGTTTTAATATATGGATTTAAATCAAACTCAAAGAAAACTTTTTTTTACATATTCAAGCAAGATAATTTGAGACAAAATGTTTAAGTGTCTATCATTTGGTTAATTATCAAATCCTCAAATAAGATATGATCTTGGCCAATTTATTTTATCTAACAAAAATATGTCCATTTATCGAGTCCTTGCACATGAGTTTTGTATCTAAGTGAATTTTTTTCTGTTAAATTTGCCTCTTCATAGTCAAAAGTACAGTTTTTAAAATAAGTATTTTCCTCTCAGGTTATTTTAGTACCAATCTGGCCAACAGTTTCCATTTAGTTAGCCAAGATTAACGAAGTCCTGATATTAATATAGCAACCACTTTCAAGAATTATGTCACAAACTCATAATACAAACAGTATTTGATCTTTTGCCACTCACTGTAAATATTCATATTAATAGTTGTCTTAAAATTTAAATAATTAAAAATATTCATTAAAACAGATTCTGATCCACAAACTGATTTTATGGCCCACAATTAGACTCTGGGAAATAAATTTAGATAATCAAAAATGAGTATTCTTTAAAACAGAATCTGGTCAACAAACTGATTTTATAGCCTACGATTAGGCTTTGGGAAATAAAGGGTTCTTTGAGGAGGAAGTCCAGGAGATAAAGGTGACAGGTACCAAAACCTATACGTTCCATACCAAGCAGAGAGGCCCACCAAAGTGCCAAAAATCTTGTCCCAAAAATCATGGAAATATACAGCAGTAGTAAGAAGCATGAAAAACCAGATAAAAGTCAAACAAGCCAGTGCTAAGAACAAACTGTTCACCACTCTGTGCAGTCTAGAACCCTGAAAAGTTTTCACACTGGGCATCACAGCCATTTCTTCTAGAATCATTAGAACACAATATGAAAGGAGGAAAGAATGTCCTGAGATATCAAAACTTTGCCAGATCCCACCAGCTTGTAGGCACTGTAGTTGGTTGGAATGTTCTTGAGTCACTACAGCAAGAGTTGATGATTTGTAACAACTGCCTGTGAAGTCCTGAATGAGCAAAAATGTACTTGTGCATATATACCAGATGATAGTGCCAACCAGCAATGAGAAAAGGCGAACTAGTACAGGCAAAATATTCTGGAGGACATTGTAGTTGGTGAGAGAGATGAATGGCAACAGCAGAGAGAATGTCCAGGCCCAGGCAAATTTCACAAAATAGCTGTCAGAGATAAAATAAAGAAAAAAAATAGTTGTAATAAAAAAATAGCAATGATTTAACCTTTTAAATAATTATTAGAGAGGAATTAAAAACGTTCTCCAAAATATAATCTAGACAAATTTCAAATGAAAATTTTCCTCAAAAGGAATAAGAAAAAAAAGATAAACATCAAACTGACAGGCTATTATAAAACTTCACATGGCCCAAGAAAGTGGTTAGCTGCGGGTTTCTAGTTTATCCCCCTCAATTCTAGGCAACATAGCTTTTAGTGTACAACAGTTAGAACACCTCACTGTTAAATCCAGCTGCAGCTCTATGTAATTGTAAATAGCAATTATAATTCAGTCCTGTTTATCCCAGACTTTTCCCATTTCTACCTGATGATAAATAGAATTATCATTTGCAAACCATATGCTTACATAAAGTTGTATTTCTTAATTGGTGTATGTGACCAGTGGAAAACTTACTTTTATCTTATTGTGACATTCTTCTACACGTTTAAAGATAATTTTAACTATTTTTAAAGTTAGAAACTCTCTGAAGGAAGCTTGCAGCAATAAAAAAAATTAACCAATTTTAAAAATTAATCAAAGCCTTGCTGCAATTAAATTTAACCAAGTTATGACGTTTACTTTTGGTAAGAGTTAAACAGGTTAATATTTAGCAAAAGTAAAATCTCCTTTGAGTTGAACTTAAGTTTTGGTGATTTTGTAGCCACACACCTGTACTTTTCTTAATAACAACATTGCAGTCATTTGCCATTATCTATTCAAAAATGATTTAACTTCCTAATCTTATCTAGACCATAGGATTTTTCTGGTGATTTCTAAGTACTAACCAGCTCTTACCCTGCTTAAATTTATGTTTTTACAGGATTGCAATTCAATTCATATTAATCTATGGCTAGTAATTAACCTTACTATATTAATACTTATTACAATGTATTCTTCCCAAAGTTTAGAAAAAGTGAAGACCAGTTAGCCAGTGGAATAAATTGCCGAATAGGGAACCATGAGGTTGCCTTTATTGGATGTGTCAGGCAGACCCATGTTAAGAGTCTCTTAATTTGGATTCCTTCACACAGCAAGACTTAAATCATGCATTAATCAAAATAGACAGCATAGGGTCACTGGCTCTTTCTCAAACTATACAACTTGGGAAGCAGGTTAGAAATATATCCCCGAGAGAAGTGGGCGAAAGAGAGAGTACCCTTCACCCCAATATAAAAGAGCCAAGCCTCTTCTGGCTCATAGACCTCCCCCATTTATACCGTATTTCGTCAACACCCTTCAGCAAGCCCCCTACTCTTTGCCCTTCTGCCAGCCAGTGTCCCCCTCATTGCGAGGCCCTGCCTCTCGGATCCCCTTGATCCTCCTCTTCCTCCATCAAAGCCTAGGACTCTCAAGGGTCAGAGAAAGCCCCTTACACATTGAGCACGTTGCGCTTGTTACTCAGGTAAGTAGCAGCCAGCGGCATTAATTCTTTAACAAGGGATCCGATCACCATGAAGCTCATCAATGCCCAGGGCATCATTCGCCGCACCGAACAGTGGGTCAAGTAAGGCAGCAAGAAACGCGAGCCTCGGTCCACAGACTCCATGACGGAGGAGTCGGCAAGACCGCAGCAAAGGAGAAAGCGGTGACCCACCCGGCACGGAACCTCCAACCGCCGTATTGCGTCGATGCTCACGTCAGCCAGCTCCGCCTCCATTCCACCCCGCCCCCGCCCCCCCCTCGCCAAAGCTACTACAACTGTGCGGAGGGAGGCGAGATAAGATGGATAGAATGCGCATGCGTCTCTGTGCAAGCTTCGCGAGGCTTGTAAATAAATCCCCGGCGGTTGAGGTTTAAGTTTGTCATCTTCCGACTGCGGCTGCGTGATAGAGGACACGTGCTGTTGACTTTGTTTTGGTCCTTAATTACAGCTCCTATCTCCCCTACGCGTATCTTTTGTGATACGTGAAGAAGGGTCTCTTTCCCAAATGAAAGAATTCTAATCTTTTCTCACAGAGTTGCTCGAGCCCCCTGGTTATTTTGCTTGCTCTCTTTAACCCCAAAGGTGCTTTTCAAAAGGCAATTGGACTTCTTTGGTTTTTTATTTTCCTTCGGAGATTTTTCGCTTCTCGTCCAAGAAGCTTCTTCAATTCTGATTGAATGGTGGAGAATAGAAGGATTTACGTCCAGTCCAGTTGCATTTTGAAAAGCACCTTTGAGACAATCGTGCCCTGGATGATTGGGAATCTTCATGAACCTTGCTCTCTTAATCCCCCCCACCCCAAGCTCTCTTATATTCCTTTTCAATTATGTTTGCAGAATTATACTCTAGAGCAGGGGTGTCCAACCTTGGCAACTTTTGGACACCCCTGCTCTAGATGTACCACAGATTTATATAAAGTTATTACAATAGTGGAGTCCTTGATGTTCTCTGAGCTTCGGTATTTGCTTACAGATGTCAATATCCAACATAAGTGTTGGTGATGGTTATTACAGTGTTGGCATTTTTATCTTTAATCTCTTTCCTAGTGATTTTTAGCATGGAATTTACCTCACTTGTGGGGTTTGGATGCTTGAGTGAGATGTTTTTCCAGAGAAAAGGATAAGGGTGAGATGGGGGAAATACCTGGAATATTCATATGTTTTCTTTTTATACTATTGTTGCTTTCAAACCTAACATTTCTAACATGAGGACTACACTACTTAGAGTATTTCACAAGTGGAGTGGCCAATTAGCTTAGTAAAATAAATGTTCCATGTCAATTGTATTGTACATTGTGATACTTTCTTAAAAATTTGTAAACTGTCTTTCAGACTCAATGTCTCAGAAGATTGATAAATTATATTACAGGGAAATGAATTTCTTTGATAGAAAAGCATTATGCACATTTATTTGAGACCATTTCCAAAATAGTATTATTTATTGAGAAGTAAACAGATTCTGAAATGATTAAATCACTGTATACTATTAGAAGACATATTATTGGCTACCAACCTTGAATTGTAAAAGTCTTTTCACAGTATTTCCTTGATGTTACATACTAATGCATGATTTGTTACATGATGTTATATAGGTTTGACACAAATTTTCAAATATTGGCATTCACATATAAATGAATTAATTATTGGGATGGCTTGCTATCAAGAGTTGTGGGTGTTCCATCACCGGAGGTTTTAAGAGATTGAACAGCCATTTGTCTGGAATAGTATAGGGTCTTCTGCTTTTGACCAGGGTGTTGAACTAGATGATCTCCAAGGCCCCTTCGAACTCGGTTATTCCTAAGGCAAGCAAATTCCTTATGTGTAGGGCAAGTGATAAAAAAGCTCTGCTCTGTCACCTTAGTTCTTTTTCTAATAAGCTAGAAACTAGGACCTTTAAAGCTGATCTCAATACAGGTAGTCCTTGACTTACAACAGTTCACTTAGTGACCATTTGAGGTTACAACACTGAAAAAAGTGACTTATGACCATTTTTCACACTTATGACCCTTGCAGCATCCAATGTCACATGATTTACATTCAGATGTTTGACAACTGACTCACATTTATGATGGTTGCAGTGTCCTGGGGTCATGTGATTATCTTTTGCCACATTCTGACAAGCAAGGTCAATGAGGAAGATTTACTTAATAACCAGGTTACTAATTTAACAACTGTAGTGATTCACTTAACAAATATGGAAAGAAAAGTCATAAAATGGGGCAAAACTCACTTACCAAACTCCTCACTTAGCAACATAAATTTTTGGCTCAATTGTGGTCATAAGTTGAGGACTAAAGTATATTTTCCTAAGTACAGACTGTCAAACAACTTGGTCCCTTTCTCCAAAGTTTTCCCAAACCTGGGGCTCTCCAAATAACTTTGGAGACTTAAGACTCAAACTTACTGGCTCCTCAGTAAACACTGATGAAGGTTTTAAAGGAGCACTTCAAATTAGAGCTGCCACTGTAGTTATGCAATTAGAAAAATTAGTTTCCTGAATTGGGAAACAATAGATGAAATAGATTCACAATTTTGTTAATGTAGATTAGAAACCAGTAGGTGGTGCTACTTTACAACTACATTTTTTACTTTTCTTTACAACTACATTTTTTTTTACTTTTCTCTACAATTACTGATTCAGGCCATATTTGGAAGAATCTTATTAAGATGAAAATACATGTGTTGTGACCATATCTGTACTGCTGTAAATCATTCACAGACAAAAATCACCTCATCTCCACTCAAAAATTAAGCAGCAGAGTGCTTTTATTGTGTCTTATTAGATTTTCTTTGGGCATTTTAAAATCTCTATGTGACAAGTATGGTAAAACAAAGACTATGAAGGACCAACTCATTACATAACAAATCCTGATGGCTATTAATTTGCAGTCCTTTAAGCTTTAAGGATAGCCCCATGTAGACATATAATAGGTGAAAATTGATAGTAGTTTCCTATCATTTTGAGATGAGAAATACCTAAGAATTGTTGTGTGAACCCTGAAATAGGTGTCTCATATAAAAAGTAACAAATTCCAATACTTGATTTGGTGATGTGGTATGAGAAAGCAAGATGCCTAGAAAATGGAAAATGTGCTGCTGTTGTCCTGCCTCTTTAAACCTTCTCCCCAGCCAGCACAGTCAGGTTGGCTAAAAATACTGTGCTGCAAGACACCTGGGTATCATGGTATTGCTGCATGGAAGAAAAGAGGTTTGAGTGTGTGTAAATAAAGTAGTTAGAAAGAGATACTTTTCTCTGGTAGGACTCCCAAAGAATTATAGTTGGAGGAACAATAGTAGATATAGCAACAGGGGGACATTTGAAGTAATGGTGAGCAATTACTACTAGCCTGTAAATACCTGCATGTTGCCTGGAGAACTGTGTTGTTGTGTTGGCTGAGTGGATGTTGAGATGGGCTCTATCACATGGCCAGGGCCCCAGGCTCAAGCACAAAATAAAGTTTTCAAGCCCCAAATACAAGTTGAGCAGGGGCAGGGTCAATATAATCTTACAGGGATGATGTTCCAAAGATTGGTCACCACAGCTAAAAAGGCTCTTTCTGGATCCCATCAACCAGGACTCTTTAGCTAATGATACCTGGACCATGCTTGTTCATCTTGATTGGGTAGGACAAGGAGAGATGATTAGAGAGGGAGAGTCCTGTAAGTAACCTAGTTCCAACCATGAAGGGCTTTAAAGGTGATAACCAGGACCTTGAATTGTACCCAGAACTACACTGGAAGCAGTGTTGGAAAACAGTAATGTCACATGCACCAAGTAAATGACACTGTTAACTGCCTGTGCAAATGCATTCTGCACCAATTGAAGCTTCTAATACTCTTTAAGGATAGCCCCCTGTAGAGTAGGTTATAATAACCCTGCCTATTCAGCAACGGTTAAATCCAGGCAGAGGTTACAAAGGCATGAATGACTGCAAGCAGAGTCCCCAGGCCATGAACGGGTGCACCTGACATACAGCCCAAAATTGCACAATGATGCTCCAAGCCATGATGGTCATTTGCTCCTTGAACAGAAGGCACAAATCCAGGGTGACTCCAAAATTGTGCATTGGGTTCTTATCTGTGGGAGTGTCATCCCAGCCAGAACCAAAGATGGAAGTTAGAGCTGCTTAGGCTGAGCTGAAGCTGTTGCATCCCATTCTTGACTCCATAGCCTTCAGGGATTAAGACAGAACTTTGTTAAATGAACAATATATATAGTATACCTCCATTTAAGGAGAAATAAGAATGAGCAAGCAAAGTATATATTCAACTTGCTGCATTAGAAGTGTAAAAATCTTCATTTTTCTATCTTTTTTCTAAATTTAGGAAAGGAAAAGGTACATACATAGTAAAATGCAACTTCCATATATTAAATGCAGGAAGAAGGTACCAAGTTAGGAAAAGTTACACTCTTAAGTTGCCCTTATTGCTGCAGAAAAATTACTGTATTTCTAGTAGATGTCTAGTTACTGTTTAGAGTTCAAAGTCTTAATGCTTTTGCAGTGTGGAAAGTAATAAACTTAGGCATGAAAGAAAGTCCAAAGAACTTTGCAAGGAATCTGTCTCACTTTCATAAATTGATTTTCTGAGATGTATTTTCAGTGACTTATCAAGTAGGAACTGTGAAATATGTATCTAGCGCAGGGCAGAATTCATTTTCATAAAAAGCATGTATAAACATATTTTAGATGGCATCATGCTGTGATAGAAATGCAAAAATTCTTCCTTATAAACTTCAAGCCGATGGCCCTTATGGCACAGCCAGTATCTAAAAAGTAATAATGACACATCTCTAATATTTTATCTAGCTACTATAGCCAGACATATTCTAATAAATATTCAATGGCTTAAGATAAAGAATAAATGTACCATACTTCAAGAGCCACAATTATTCTTTTTAGCTTTATTAGTAATGCCTATGAAGATTGTTCTGTTTTATATTTTTGAATATACAACTCTATTCTAGGAATGAATTGGTTCTAATTTATTTCCTTTTAGAAGTTTCAAACTCTGGTTAGAACTACAATATGTGCTATGTGCAATATGACCCTGTGCCAAAATTATCATTTCTGTTGAATTTAACCCCGTAACAATAGCATCCCTTATTCTATATTATGATTTTGAATTATGCCCTTTTGCACTGTCCCTGGTAGCAGTAGCAAATTATAAAAATCGGTGTTTAGAAGACAT